GAGGAAAACTGGGGACTTCTGGCCTCAGCAGGTCAACCTTCGTGGCCGCAGTGACTTTTGCCCGGCACAAGTTCTTGTTCTTGGCCACTAAAATGGCACCTCAGCAGCCCCTCAAAGAAACCTGCCCTTCGGCTTCACCCACCCCTTCCCCACACCCCCCTCCAGCCCGTCACGGATCTCGAGGGACAAAAACATTCATTAATCAGACATGGGAGGTGCAGAAGATGGAGCAGGTTCTCTCCTGAAGAGCTGGGACAAAGCTGTTTTGCTCAAACCCAGGATGACCCACCATCTTCCCCCTCCGTTAGTGATTCTCTTGTGCTCAGACCACGTGCGGTCCCGTGCCCAGTTCTGCAGGGACACAGAAGCCACATCCATGCCACGTGTGTGGCTCCAAACACACAGCAGCAAGTGTGCAAATTCTCCTGACCATCACCTTGCCGAATATTCCCGGACTGGAGCGAGACCAAAGCCTGTGGCTTGAACCCGGAGCCGGCCTGGGCAGAGCTCCTGGGCCACCAAACGTGGTTGTGGAGTTCACCATGGGCAGAAGGACAGTGACTGCAGAAGAAGCGGTGACCGAGACACCCCAGACCTGTGCTTGGGTGGGAAGTGGTGACACGAGTGACTCGCTCCAGGCTGGTGGGGACGTTAGAGATGTCCGTTCTCCTTCTTCCCTCTTCTTCTGTACGTGCAACCTGACAGTAGGGTGGCATCCTGCCCTGCTCCCATCACCTCCTCAAACCCCTTTCCCTGGGGATCCTGCCCCCTCTCCTTGCCACCAAGTCTCCTTCTGTCCCTCCTTCCACTGCAGAGGGGACAAGGTTCATGCAGAGGAGACACTTTCCTGCCTTTCCCCAGCTCAGGAGCACAGATGCTGTTCTGCAGAGGGACCATTTGGGTCTCGCTGCCCCAACGGGGGAGTTTCTGTTTGGCCCAGGGTCGGAGGCAGCCGGAGGGGTCCCGTGGAGCGGTCGAGCACCCGGAGCTGTAGGTGAGTCCTGACTTTAGGCCTTAAAGCGCCCAAGGCTCCAGCAAAACACAGAAGCAAAGACTAAAACAGAGAGCCCTTGTCAAGGGTATTGCCTCATCCAAGTCCTGCCAAGCTCAGGAGCCGTGTTTCTAACAGAGAAGCCAACCACTGGCAACAAAAAAATTAAAATGTTCCTTTTACTGTAGCTTTTAGAGGATATAGCTGGGAAAAGAAGAAAAACAAACAAACAAAAAAACAACAAAAAAAAAGGAGATTGTCTCTCTTCCCCTTGTCAAAATCATCAGTAGCTAAGTCAGGGAAAAAAAAACAAAAAACAAAAAACAAACAACAAAAAAACCAAAACGTTCAAGTTAGGGGTTGCAGCAGCAGCAGCCAACACGAAACATTCAAGTCGATAATTTCACTATGTACATTTGTGGGTGCGACACGGCCCTGCCCCGCTGGGACTCCCTCCTCCCAGCCCGCCGGGCCTGCGCTATCTGATCCGCTTCTCCACCGAGTACACCGAGATGTAGTAGTCGTTGCTCCCGACGGCCAGATGCGGCTGCGGAGAGAGAGAGTGAGAGAGCACACGGGGGACAAAACCCACGGGTGTCAGGCACTAACCGGGAGGCAGCTTCGCCCAGATGCTCCAAAGCTCTGGAAGTGCATCTGCCCACGCGGCTCTGAGGAGGTTCCTGCCAGCACCCACCTCGTCTCCGCGAGTTATGTCCCCATTTCAGCCAGAGGGAAAAATGATGGTGACCGTTAGCTGCCAACCGCTAACATAATTTTCGTAAATGGCTGCAAATCTGCTAGTTAGGAACAGTCGCCCGGACCGAAAATTAGCATTTAGGAGCAGTTGGCTGGGCTGAGAATGAGCATTCCCTGAGCTGGGCAGCCCAGGAGCAATCCCACCGCAGGGACTCGGGTTGGACAGGGCTTTGGTTGCTTATTTAAAGAGCAAAACGTTCCCAGGGATCACCCCCTCCCTTCTCTGTTCCCCCACACTGTAGGACAGCAAAACTGCTGTTCAGCTTTGTGCAAAGCCGCTTTTCCAATTGCAGGAGGAGACGAGTTTTCCTTTAAACATCCCGATTTTAGGATGTAAAGCCACAGGTAAGGGCAGCAGGAACTGCCTGCCCCCTCCCTGCCCCTCTGATGGAGATCTCAGCTCCGTGCTCCCCTCCCAGCCCTTTGTCATTCCCACCGCTCCCTCCCGTTACGTGTTAAATATTTGTGTTCTGATCCGCAGGTTTCTAAAATAACTCTCTGTCTAAATGCCTTCTTTAACCTCCTCCTGCTCTTCCCATCCGCTCACGTCCTTTTCTTAGGCTTTCAGCCTCCTTCATTTATTCTCATCTCCGGGTGAGCACAAGCCCATAATGCAGATGGGCACCTGCCTCCTAATTAAGCAGCAACCAGATCCTCTCTCTAATGACTACCGCAGAGCCACCTCAGCAGTGACATATTCCAAAATTTCCTTTTTATTCTGATTAACTCTAGATTTTATCACTTATGCCTTTAATTTTTGCAGTTCTCTCTTGTTTTCTGATGCGGTTTTCCTGCCGCGCAGCATCGGGTCCTCCCAACGCCTGACGTAAGGCAGAGTAAAAGCAGCCCCAGGGACACAAGGGTGAGCCCGTTCTCCGCAGGAGAAGAGCCACAGAATAAATAAGAACGTAAAATTTCACGTGCTGAAAGTGAGAGGCTGCTCCTCTCCACTCAGTTCTGGATAAATTCACCTGGGACAACGAGCTAAGCCAGGCTGCGGTCCTGGAGCGATGGGATGGGAACAGGACCCCAAGCTGATCCACAAGCAACAAGGGTTCAGCCATTGGCAGCCCTGTTCCCATCATAAACCAGCAGCCCTGGTGGCATGGCCAGTGTGGTCCTCTGGACAGCCTGGAGGACAAGTCCTGAAGGACCCAGATGAAGATGATGAGGGGCCTGGAGCATCTCCCTGATGAGGAGAGGCTGAGGGACTTGGGGCTTTTCAGTCTGGAGAAGAGAAGACTGAGGGGGGATCTAATCAATGCTTACAAATACTTCAAGGGTGGGGGTCAGGAGGATGGGGCTGGTCTTTTCTCAGTGGTGCCCAGGGACAGGACAAGAGGAAATGGGCACAAACTTGACCATAAGAAGTTCCACCTAAACATGAGGAGGAACTTCTTTGCTGTGAGGGTGGCAGAGCCCTGGCAGAGGCTGCCCAGAGAGGTGGTGGAGTCTCCTTCTCTGGAGACATTCACATCACATCTTGACGCGTTCCTGTGCGACCTGCTCTGGGTGGACCTGCTTTGACAGGGAGGTTGGACTAGATGATCTCCAGAGGTCCCTTCCAACCCCATAGCATTCTGTGACCCATGGCTCAGAGCATCCTTAGAAGGACCAGGCTGCACCAGAGGAGTCTCTGAGCCTTTCTCTTTTCCAACAGGGACATTAACTAAGAAATGCAAATTCCCAAACCCAAGAGGAGAGAATACAGACCCAGTGCGGATGGAAGGCCAGGCAGCTGATGGCTCCGACTCTCTGTCCCATAAAACCATCGTAGTATTTGATGTTGTTGATCAGCTCCCCGTTTCCGTTGTAGATTGCAGTGAACTGATTCATCGAGCCACTGGAAGGGAACCAAGAGAACACAGTGTCACCAAGAAGCTGTGGTAACAATGACACTGCTGCCTTCAGCCCCCTCTCCAGCCGTGTCAACCCCAGCTGCTCATCAGACTGTGTGTGATGGTTTTACAAGCGGGGAAACTGACTCTGAGCCATGGCAACCTCCATGCAGGGCTTCACAGCCAGGCTGGAACCACGGCTACCTCTTCCACCCAGCCAGAAAACACCAAGAGCTGATGCCCACAGGCACCGGGATCAGGTCCCCCATCCACCCCCAGGGTACGTGGCCCTGGAGAAGCTGCTGGTCCCCTCTCAGAGCCCAAAAATCCACATGCTGACTTTGCACAGGGACCTGACATAGGGGTGCAAGACCATACACCATCAGTTTAAGTCACCAGTGCACCCCCACGCAGGGGATAAGAAGCTGGACTGTTTGGGTGAGGTTTAAACAAACAACAAAACCAAAAAAGCCAACCCTGAATGACATCTGCAGAGAGAAACTGTCCTCTCTGTCCACTCCAGGGGTGCAAGAGATGAAAACAGAACTCACCATGCGAAGAGGTTGGCTTGGGGGTGAATGTCCAGGGCCGTCAGCCCTTTGACTATCTGAAGGACCTTCATGGACTCTGGCATCCGGGGGTCAAAGAACCGCACGTCTCCGTTTACGCTGCCAAGACAGGAGTTCCACGGTGTCAGACAAGGACCCAAAACCAGACCCCAAAGCCCAAGAACTCAAACCTTCTGCCTGTCTGAGAGCCAACTGCTTTGATAGGAAACCAGGATAGAGAAGACATGGGCCTTTGACTTCTCCATCAGCAGGGCTGAATTCCCACCCATGTCCCTGATCTTTGGTGCCCTCCAACACATCAAGAGCTGTGCAAACAGCTCTGCCCTCAGGAGTGGACACCCCGAGCTGCGTGTCAGACCCGAGTTCCTTCTCCTTCTCACAGTAGGGAATTGTATTAGAAACCTCCAGCCAGATGGGATGTACTGGGACCATCCCTGATGCCAAATGCCTGGGCACAGATGCCCAAAGTCCCCACTGTCCAAAGCGCTCTGTGGACCAGGTGTAACGAACTCTGCGAGTGCTCGGAGGATGTGTCCATCCTGTTAATGACTTTATCAGGGAAGAGGGGGTGGGGAGAGCCACAGAGTGTCAGGCTGGACCCAAAACCAGACCCCAAAGCCCAAGAACTCAAACCTTCTGCCTGTCTGTGAGCCGACCACTTTGAGAGGAAACCAGGATAGAGAAGACACGGGCTTTTGACTTCTCCATCAGCAGGGCTGAATTCCCACCCATGTCCCTGATCTTTGGTGCCCTCCACAACACATCAAGAGCTGTGCAAACGGCTCTGCCCTCAGGAGTGGACACCCCGAGCTGCGTGTCAGACCCGAGTTCCTCCTCCTTCTCACAGTAGGGAATTGCATTAGAAACCTCCAGCCAGATGGGATGTGCTGAGACCATCCCTGATGCCAAATGCCTGGGCACAGATGCCCAAAGTCCCTGCTGTCCAAAGCGCTCTGTGGACCAGGTGTAACAAACTCTGCGAGTGCTCGGGGGACGTGTCCATCCTGTTAATGACTTCATCAGGGAAGAGGGGGTGGGGAGAGCCACAGCAGTAGGGGCAAGATACTGTGCTTAACAGATCAAGCACCTTTCAGACACAAATTATTTCTCTTTGCTAAGTGGTCCTTCTCCCTGTCCTTCTTGAACTGGGGAACCCAGAACTGGAGCACCGTGTCTGAAGTTCAAGAAGGACAGGGAACTCCTGGGGAGGGTACAGCAAAGGGCTATGAAGATGATGAGGGGACTAGAACACCTCCCTTACAAGGAAAGGCTGAGGGACTCCTCTGCTCTTCGGAGCTCCTTGCAAGAGACCGATCCATTGGTGTCCAGAAAGCCAAACTGAAAAGTCTCTTATGGAAACTAAATCCAAAATCAACTCATCTGGATCTTACTCTGCTGGCAGCAGAAGTAGGGCTTTTGGCACCGTGACTTTTAAAGCATTATTTTACCCAGGTCACTGTAAAACTTAAACCCTACAGAGTTAAGAATGACGGAAGCACAAAGCAGCACATTCCCTTTAGTTTCTTTACCTCTGGAATATCTGGATACTGATCAAAAGGTTGTTATACGGGACTACTTATATCATAATAAGAAGCTGCTACTCCAGCTGTCACATAATTAAATTCACGACAAATTAAACTTGAGATTGATTTAGATCCTAGAGACTAGATGAAAATATTGTTTGAGAGAGATCAAATTCATTTACAGCTTTGAACCTTTAATAGGACTTGAAAATGGTTCTGGATGTAGTGGAAGACCAGGCAAGAGCTTTGAAATGGATGCGAAGTTCTGTGATGAGGGACTACACGGGAAAACATACCTCCAGCTGAAGAATAAGAGGCACCAAGGAGCCAACAACAGCTAAGCTACTGAATCAGGATATCCCAAAAGTGTCTGAGGAGAGCCACAGGATCCAGGGTCACCCTCCTGTGTCACAAACTCCTGCCTCTGGTTCGTGGAGGTTCAGAGAACTGAGAACTGCTCTACAAGCCACACAAAGCCTTCAGGTTTCTCAGGAAATAGCCAGACCGAGACCTCACTACGTCCCAACGTTTGTTCTTCTTGGATCTTGCCATCAACTGGGGGAAACTGGGAGCGAGGTGGGGTGTCTCAAGGAACCGAGTCCCTCTGGGATGAGAGCAGACCTGTCTTTGGAAGTACAACGCTTTCTCACACTCCTTCAACCCCGAGAGAAAGCACCACGTGCTGAGAAGGGCACTGAGGAGAGGGGAAGGACCAGCCTCCAGACACGGGCTGGCCAAGCGCACGGGCCTGACCCCCGGGACTGGGGAAGGAGATTACAGAAAGGAAGATTAAAAACTCTAATATGTGAGCTCGACAAATCTGGCAGCTGCATCACATAATCCCCTTTCTGAAAATCTTAATACATTTTTGCTGGCCCATCCCCCACCTCAGGAACATTGTGAATCCCAGAAAATGATGTTTTGTTTTCACTTTGTAATCAAGAAAAAGAGCCTCTTTGCGTGCAAACAGTGGCTTTGTGACAATAAATTATATTCTGCTGTTCTTTAATGGCCAAATAAGTATATGCTGCTCTCTCCGCAGTATTTACCATGCAGCAGAAATGGATTTATGTGTAGAAAATTGCTAGACAGCAAAGTAATCCTGCACAGCAATATGCCCAACAGATGCAACATCAACCTTCCTTCTCCTGTTCTCTCGCAAATGACCCCACGGAGACGTTGGCAATAAAGAACAGCCATAAGATATACTATATCTAGCTTAGGCTTCTGGTTCACTCCGTTCCTCCCTCACACGCCTCGTGACAGTGATTTCAGCAAAGACGCCTCTCTTGTTTACTCTCAGACCTCACTAACGGGCTTCCAAGGAAAGCTTCCCATTTCTTTTTGCCTTCTCTCCACCAAGTTTGGAGCGGGAGGTAATTACCGAAGCAAACATCAAGCTAAAGAGCTTTGCCCTCTTAGCTCTTGGAAACAAGAGAGGCAGAATTTAAATAGAGAAACAAACTGTGTCCGGGAGAAAACAGCTCGATGAATAAAATCTGTTTTACCTGACGCTCATGATGTTGCCCTCGGGATGTTTCTGCAGATAGGCTTTCACCACCCAGGCCGTGTGCTCGCGGTAGGTCATGACACGGCTGAGGAACAAGCAGAGAGAGGTTTTGAAGGGAGGGAGGGAGGGAGGGAGGGAGGTGGGAAGGTGCAGATCCCCCGAGCCTGGGCAGGAGGGGTAGTTACCATTCACTGAGAGCCATCCTCCTGTCGAACACGCGGATGGAGCCGTCCCCCAGCCCCGCCACGATTAACGACCGGTGAGAATCACAGGAGAGGCTGGTGACACAGCTGTCAGCCCCGGTGGGGATGTCCTGAGGAGAAGGCACACAAACCCCAAGCTCTAGTTATCATTAATGGAGTCTAGTTCTTTCAGTTTACTTTTATTTTTCACTTTATTTTTTTTAAACACGTGGCTCTCCCCCTCCTTTCCCCATCAGGACCACCATAAGGATCTGCAGAGCCTTGGGGGGTCTTGGGGACAGGCCCATGGGACTGAGTGTGACCTTGCCCTTGGCCATGGAGAACTCCAGTGCTCCTGAACAACGTCAGAGCGGACGCCAGAGCCTCAGACAACACACAGAGCTGCTGGACAACACAGCCCTGGAGCATCACTTACGCAGGACAGAGCCAGGCAGTGCTGTGCCACCTAAAGTCCCCGCTGCGGGACACGTGACGAGAGGATTCAGGTTATCTCATTAGAGCCCAGACACGGTGTGTATTAAAAAAAAAAAATAATGACACGGAAAAAGAAGAGCGGAGCTGCAAGGGCAGCTGTGCTGGGAAAAGTGTGTGCTTAACTCCAAGGCTGCCCTTTTCCTTTTTTTAACTCACTATACAGGAAAGAATTGCTTGGGATAACGCCTGCTTACTCCTGTCCTGAGGAAAACACGTTTTCAATGAAAACAGGCGAAAACTAAGCAATGCTGCAAGAGCAGGTTAACAAGTGGGAGGCAGAGCAGGACTGCCTTAGCTCAGTTCACACCTCACTCCTATTTTATTTATTATTATACTCCAGTGGCTGAGATTGTGGGGGTCTTTTGTGTGTGTACGGTTGGAGTCGGTGATCTCCAAGGTCCTTTCCACCCGTGAAGATTCTGTGATTTTTGCCTCTATGAGATTCACCGTCCCCTGCTGCTCCCTGCCCTGGCCTGGGCTGAGCCAAGGGGCTGGGGGCAGTTCTGGGCAGCCCCCCCTCAAGCCCAGGCCCTGCCTTTGAAGCAGGAACAATCAGCAGAAGTGAAAATGAAGCGGTGGCTGCCTCGGCTGCATCCCCAGCACTGCCAGGGGTTGCCTTTTTGTAGTTCAAAGCGCGGGGAGGCACCTTGATTGAGGCCGGATTCCAGAGCTCTTTGTGCTGAATCTCAGTTTTTCCCAGTGTTACTGACTCAGGAAGTTCCAATCACTTGAATTTCACCACAACCAATCTTTGCAATTAAAAGAGAAACCACATGTTTTTCGATACTTTCAGCGCGATCATTAATCATCATCATTGAAAAGACTTTCACCTCCCGAATTCTGCTGTTCCCTAATTTACATAGAAAAAAAATCATATGTGAAAGTAATTAAGATTAACATAGGCTTAATTATCCCGCATTGCAGGGTCAAAGTGTCGCAATTAATGTGCATCCGAGGGTAATTAATTCCTAGAAGCTTTGAAAACCAGTCGTGCTGTTTTCTCCAGCACGGTGGCTCCGTTCTCATGGAGCAGTTGCTTTTCCCTGTAATTCCAGAGCCCCTCTCGTGGGATGAGGGAGGGAGGGAGGAGGAGACGGGGCCAAACACGCCGACGTTACCTGGACTTTCATCTCCCGATCGGTGTCCCAGATCCGGATTATCCTCACGTCTCCCGATGTCATCAGGAGCCCGGTTTCTTGTTCCCAGTCCACCACCATTCCTGCTCCTAAGAGAAAACACAGGCAAAGGCGTGAAAATTAACCTCTGTGTCAGCAACAGGCAGAGCTGCCCTAATTAGAACAGCAGCTTTGGTGGCCTCACGCTACGGGAACTATCGTTATTAGAGGAAATATAAAATGACACGCAAACACATCCATACATCCTCCAAATGGGATCAATCAGCTGGGCCTGGATTTGAGTCCAAAACACGTCTCTGACCCCTTGGCTACGTTAAGTGCTTAGAAAAGCCAAGGTGCAGGTGGATACAGCCTTCCAGGGACGCTGCCGGGCTGCGGGGGACTTCTAAGGGAATCTTAATAAATTATTCACTGCTTGATGAGAACACCGGATTAAACGATGACTGGAGTAGACTAAACTGGTGCCATCTTACATGACAAGACCTGAGAGCCTCTGGATTACCAGGATTCCTCATTCTAATAGAAGCACGTGGCTAAGGGGAGATGTTTCTAAACAAGGAATAGCAATATCATTGCTGCGAGACGGCTTGGTAGGAGTAAAAACCAATTTGCTCTACAGCCAGATAAGGAAGGGAACACTCTGCAATTACAGCAGCTAAAATACATTTACAAGAGCTTTTGCTCCTCGTCTTTGAGGGCACAAACTGATTGCGAGGTGAAGTTCAGAGAAACGTCCCATCCACGCTGCCAGAGAATTACAAGGGATTATCTATCCCCAAAACACCTGACCCGGGCACCGCAGAGGGACAGGCTGGGACCTGCCCGAGCTCAGGAATCCTGCTGGTCCAGCAATTCCCAGAGAAGAGTCAGTGTGTGTCACCTCCCGTCCCAGCTGGGGGATGCCATGTCCGAAAGCCCCGGGGCGAGCTGGCTCTCCTTGGCACAGAGCACACGAGCATCACAACTCACCAGAGACTGGGACCTGGGAAACAACTGGGAATGAACCCCCTGATTCCGTGGGGAAACCTCTGAGGAACAACCCTTGTACATTTAATTAGAAGGGACTCCTTTGTACCCGCGTTCTGCCTCCACAGTGCCGAAACCTTTTGCTTAAAGCCGAGCTGCACACCAATTAGCTCTTGCTTTTCACTCTGCAAAGGCTCACCGACCCCAAACCTGTGGGTTTTTCCAGGGAGACTCTTATTCATACATTAAAAACACAAACAAAAAAATGCCAGGAGCGTTACACGAGGGAACCACACAGAAGCTGTGGTTTTGGGGGTTGTTTTCACCTGGAGGGCAGGGATCTCCCTGGTGGGGGCAGACACAGCATCTTCATTCTCCTCCACCCCAAACCCAGGAGTATTTTCCAGCCCCACGAGGCTGGAGCTGAGCACCACACAATGAGCCAGGGCTACTGCTCCCGGCTGGCAGCAGCCACGAGCCCTGGGTTGCCACAGTGCAAACACTCAAAGGACAGACTGGCTGGTCCAGAAGGTACAAATGTGAATTTGTCTCAATTTACTGCTAGGAATTAGCCCCAGCAGGGAATTTAAACCTACCCCAACACCCTCTTTGTCACCAAAGGGTCGTAAGTACTTTTTACCAAACACCTTTACAGGGCATGGAGGAAACAACAGAGGCACCCTATATAAACACCCCGTTTTCTTTGATGATGAAACAACCTTGTTTTGCACAGATCCAGAGAGAACATTTTGCCCATCTCCCCTCCCTGAGCACTGCGTCCCAGCCGGTCCCTGGTCATGCTGCATCCCACTTGGAAGATCACTGAGGGTTACTGACAACCCATCATCCTACCACAGGAAACTTGGGACCCCGGGCTAAGCCGAGAGCTCGTGTCTTCATCTCCCCAGTCAAATTGATGGTTCCTCCAGAGCACCCGGCAGCTCGGAAGGCTGCTAGAGATTTGCAGCAAGCAAGCAGGCAGTGATTTAGATGATAAACATCACTGAAGCGTTTTCATTTGTCATCTTGTTTATGGCCCGTGTGACAAGACAAACCTGGCAGGCCGAGATGGATATTGCCATTACCGTCGCTGATGGGCTTAAGCAGGCGACACGCTCTTAGGCAGCGTTAAAGCTCCCCGTTTCCCAGTCACATTCCCCAGTTTGAAGACACCGTTTTCCTTCGGTCTGATCAACAGCAACAAGTCCCCACCCTGCTGTGGTCCCAGGGGTCTTTTCTGCGGAGGGGGACGCAGACACAGCATCTTCATTCTCCTCCACCCCAAACCCAGGAGTATTTTCCAGCCCCACGAGGCTGGAGCTGAGCACCACACAATGAGCCAGGGCTACTGCTCCCGGCTGGCAGCAGCCACGAGCCCTGGGTTGCCACAGTGCAAACACTCAAAGGACAGACTGGCTGGTCCAGAAGGTACAAATGTGAATTTGTCTCAATTTACTGCTAGGAATTAGCCCCAGCAGGGAATTTAAACCTACCCCAACACCCTCTTTGTCACCAAAGGGTCGTAAGTACTTTTTACCAAACACCTTTACAGGGCATGGAGGAAACAACAGAGGCACCCTATATAAACACCCCGTTTTCTTTGATGATGAAACAACCTTGTTTTGCACAGATCCAGAGAGAACATTTTGCCCATCTCCCCTCCCTGAGCACTGTGTCCCAGCCAGTCCCTGGTTTTGCTGCATCCCACTTGGAAGATCACTGAGGGTTACTGACAACCCATCATCCTACCACAGGAAACTTGGGACCCCGGGCTAAGCCGAGAGCTCGTGTCTTCATCTCCCCAGTCAAATTGATGGTTCCTCCAGAGCACCCGGCAGCGCCCATCATCCTACTGGGCTACTCAGGACCCCGGGCTACGCCGAGAGCTCGTGTCTTCATCTCCCCAGTCAAATTGATGGTTCCTCCAGAGCACCCGGCAGCTCGGAAGGCTGCTAGAGATTTGCAGCAAGCAAGCAGGCAGTGATTTAGATGATAAACATCACTGAAGCGTTTTCATTTGTCATCTTGTTTATGGCCCGTGTGACAAGACAAACCTGGCAGGCCGAGATGGATATTGCCATTACCGTCGCTGATGGGCTTAAGCAGGCGACACGCTCTTAGGCAGCGTTAAAGCTCCCCGTTTCCCAGTCACATTCCCCAGTTTGAAGACACCGTTTTCCTTCGGTCTGATCAACAGCAACAAGTCCCCACCCTGCTGTGGTCCCAGGGGTCTTTTCTGCGGAGGGGGACGGTGCATTTGAGCGATGACTGGCCTTTGGGTGCTTCTCCTGGCGTGTCCGTGGGGAATTCAAGCACCGAGGATGTTCAGTGATACCATCTAGGAGGCCAGGGAAAGTTTCGTTGAGGGAAGAAGCTCCAGAGGGTCTCACTTTATGTAACATGGCAGAGAGATGTCCCGTGAAAGATGGCTGGATGGAGAGGAGAAGGGCTCACCTGGAGCAGGAGCTGGCAGAGCCCAGGTGGAGAGAAAGGAGGGGGACAGTGTTGGTGCACAGTGTGGCTCCTGCCTTCCTTACACCCATAGTCCATGTCAGCGATAACCACCGCTCTCTGGGAGAGGGAAGTGCAGCATTTTGATCACCCCATAACAAGGGATCTTCCCTTTCTTTCATGAGCCGTCTTACTCTCTCAAAAAAATACGAAATACCATTTTTGCTGGTTCTGGCACACCGTGCCGGGGTGGAGCGGGCACTCACAGAGCGCTCATCCTGCACCACACAACGCGGCATCGGAAACAACAAGAGTATCTGCATAAAAGCCACCACTGAGGAGAATCTTTGAGGTCCCTTCCAACCCTAACCATTCTACGATTCTATGATTCTATGAATTCCTGGCCCCTTCCTGCTGGGAGATATCAACGGCTCCATCCCCAGCCCGGCACGGCAGTGGGTCCCCACTGAGGGGTCCCACCGTGATGAGCACCGGGGGGTCTGATCCGGCTGAAAGGAGGAAAGGGGACCCCAGGATGTGCGAAACAGGAATTCAAATGTGTCTGAAAAGAGGAAAAGCCTTTGTACGTAAATTGAAGTCATTTGTACACATGGAAGAGGGAAGGAAAAGCTTCCTCCAACTGTGAAATGCTAAATCTGAAGACGACTCTCGCAGCGCGAAATGAGACATAAATAGCTGAACTATTTCTATGTACGAGTAAATGTTTTCATGGTGGAAATGATACAGTATTGGCTCGTGTTTGTATGTTAAATTCCTAGTATTTCGGGACGAGAAGTAAACGTGGGACTTAATACTAATTATCATTTCCTTTTTAATTAACAGAGGTCCTTCTGCAGGATGTTACAACCGAGACTGCAGCTCACCTGCTGGGGTTTGGCTCCTGGGTTTGGCACCGAAGATGCTTTTCAGCTTCATCTTGGCAAAAAAAAGGCAACGTGCTCTGCGGAGCCGGGCCAGTTCAGCTCCTGCCTGGGCCACGAAACCCAGATCTGTGTTACCCACCACCATCTCTGAGCTCCCACCTCCGGCCAGGAAGGGAGCAAACAGGGGCCGTGACACCGATGGAACCATCCAACACAGGCCAGGAGAGAAACCCTGGTACCCTCAGAAGCCAATGATGTGCAGAAACAGGCGTCCTGGCAATGGGCTTCTTTTAATGCATCATTAGGCAAGATGACAATTTTCCCACAAGGAATGGTGTGTTCTCAGGTAATGATCAAGAAATCTTCCACAGCTCAGGAAAATCCTTCTTTTTTTTTTTTTTTTTAAGGTTTGGGGTTTTTTTTCGTTTCTTGCTTTGTTTTTGAGTCTTTCAACATGAGAACTTGCAGCTCTGGGTGATGTGAGTTTCTAGACAATGCAACACGTACCAACAGCCGTTCTTGAAGCTGTAACCTGTTCCCTCAGGATTGCCCCCCCTGAGCAACGGATATTCATCTGGATGGGATAGTTTCCTCTATAAAGGTCAATAAATAACACCGGTGTTGAAAGGAGCTGCATTCCAAGGGGGGTACACTTATTTTTAACATCGCTGGAACCTGGCCAACCCGTACTTGGCATTTCAATGAAATCAGGAATACCTGCACAGAACAACCATATGAAAGCATCTCGGATTCTGACTGATGATTTTTTAATCACGGGCCCTCCTGGT